TTCTGAAAGAAAAACCACCGCTGGGTTGTATGACCGTATCAGGTCCCTGAGTTCGCCAACTGTCGAGTCCAACCCCAAGCCTCGACAGTTCCAGGCTAAGTAATTCATGGCGTCCGGCGGCCCCCCTCGTCGGAGTCCGCCGATGGATCATTGTTTTCCGATAGCCTGTCAAAATCAGTGGATGTCTTCCTTCTCGTATCTCGGATAAACTCATCATTTGTCATTTGCCTATCCGGATCATTCGTAGCCACCCAGTATTGTCTCGGCCCTCTCTTCCTACCTTCATATTCGAATCTTGGTTGATAATAACCTTGCTGAACCGGACGATATTCCTGCCTGGGCTTCCTGATAAAGTGACCCCTCCTCCTTCCACCACTGTCGCCATGTCTCTCCCTGTCAAAAAGCTCATCACCTCTTCTCATATCCCCCCTAGCAGGCTGAACATGGCTCCCTCCCGACTCATCCCTCCTATCCTCCCATCTATCTCTTGAGCTACTTGCCACACGTTGTTGTTCTTGTAATTTATGCCGCAGGTCACCTTCCCTCTTCTGTTCTAGATCCTGTCTGAGGTCATGCTCTTCCCTTCGGACATTCTTATATTTATCCTTCAATGGGCTAGTAACTTCTCCACGATCGACTTTGGCAGCCCCGCCAGTGCGGGCTCCATCCGATTTGGCAAACTCCTCCTGCAGGTTTCGTTTTGTTGGGCCTGACCCTTGTCATGATTTGTCTGACGTCTTGGGTCGCTGTCGACCGTGCGTCTACTGTCCCAACTGTTGCTGCTCCCGCTGGCCCCTGAGAGCCTCCCTTTGAACCACTCTGCCTCCCTGGATAATCCTTCAGCAACACACAAAAACAACCCACAACGTGGCAGCTGCACAAAGACAACAAAATGGGACCCACAAAGGGAGAAGTATCCACGAATCAGGCAAAACGGCAGCCAGTCAAAGCACATGCACCGCATATGCACAAAGCGGGACACGTACGACGGAAGAATTCTGGGGCGGCGAAGTCAACCGACCACCGTGGCCCACATGCAACAAAAAATGCTATGCACACCAACACGAAGACCACACACGTTTAAAAAATCGGAGCTGCTAAAAATCAGTCGACTAAGACTTCGCGAAGTCTCAGTCGACTGGTGAGCCATCCGATCTGTTTGTTGCTTGTAGATTCACACTGGGTCGTTTTTGTGCCTTTTTTCGGCCTGTCTAAGGCGCAGTGGGCTCAGACCAGTCCGTTCTCCTTTTTCTACGTCGAAGCGCGGCCGAGGGTGAGTGTTTTGCTTTTTCGTGGGCTGGGCTTTTTTCTCTGTCTGTTTCTATCTTGATTTTTTTCTCGGTCCGCTTTCTTTTTTTTGACGTTTGTTACAGGGGAGGGGAAGCGGCCACC